AAACGACAATAAAATGGCTAAAAACAAAAAAATAATAGTCAAATTTGGACAAAAACACATATAAAAATACGAGTCCATGTTTGAAAAGTGTACTTTTCCCCTTTTGAAAATTGTTCAACTTTAATAATAAAAAGTCACATTTTATATTAAATTAAAAAGTGTGGCTCAACGGTTTTTCCGTTTCAAATAAAGCTAGTCGCTTGTAGCAGTAGAACATGTGTGTGCACTTGGTAAACTTAACAAAGGCGACAAATGTGTGGGCATTAAAAAGCAAAAAGTGAAAAAAAAGATTGTGATGTGTCAGCAGCAGTNTTTATAAAGTAAATTGTAATTTGCTCACAAGAAGTGTTGTGAATGTACTGACTGGGTAAAACAAATAAAAAATTGAAAAACAGTGACGAGCCTCAGTGCAGGCGAAACATGTTCAGTAGATCGTCATTGTAATTTCGGGCAATCTCGTCAATCACTTCGGTCAACTTGCGAGTCTACCCGAAGGGAGTGAAAAGGAATCAGTATAGTACCTTTTAAAATATCAAATACTTACCCAAAGCCAAAAGTGATTGAGTTTCTTGCGCGAGAGCTTCATCTCCTTCTGCGCCTCGTACTTCTCCAGGAGAAAGTAGCCCTTCTTGTCGAAGAAGGCGGTGCGGAACTTCTCCGTCTTTCGATTGAGCAGCTCCACCTCGGCGAAGAGCGCGTCGAAGGACGCCTGTCGGGTGGCCGGGTTGATGAAGTTGTCGATGTTGTACTTGTCGGCGTCATTGAGGATGGACGCCTCCTCCTGAAGGCCGTCGGCGCCGGCGGCGGCGTTGATCGGCGTGAGGAGGTTCGCCTTGCCGTCGACGGTGGGCGGCAGCTGTGCCTTCTGCCCTCGTTTGCCTCGCTTTGTGTACATCGCCACTAGCGAGGTGATGATGCTGCCGTAGGAGCTGCGCAGCATCATCAGCCCGGAGTTCATCTCCTCCACCTGAAATAGAAGTTTTAGATAATATAAACACCTTTTTGTTGTTGGGCAGCAAATGATACCTCATCATTGAAAGCCTCAAAGTCGTAGCGCGAGATGTCTGGCGTGTCCACCAGTGGCGGCTTCGGGTGCTTCTGGCGCTCCTCCTCGCGCACCATCTGATTGATGGTCGGTTTGGTGAACTCCAACTTGGGCGAGGAGTTCTTGCTTTTTGGCTTTTTTTCTTTTTCCTTTTCTTTTGGCTGCTTTGACTTGTGATTCTTCTTCTTATCGGCAGCTTTTGGCGAGTCTGCGTCGTCGCTGGTCTCCTCAGCGGCGCTGCTCATCGTCGCCTCCTTAATCGTCGCCTGCTCATCGGCAGCTGAAGAGGCGCCGGTGGCAGTGGACGTTGTCCCCGCCGATGACTGCTGTCCACCACCTCCACCACCACTGGACTGCTTTGTCTCACAGCTGCAGTCAACGGGCTCACTGGTCTCTGGGTCAATGGTTTTCTTTGGAGCACCAGCCTTGACCACTTTTTGCTTTGCTGGCACCTCCACCTCATCAACCTCCTCGGCGGTTGAAGTGCCACTCTCCACCGGTTCCTCCTTCTTCTGAGGTTTGCTGTGCTTGGTGGTCTTCTCCTTGCCGCTCTTTTCCTTGCCACTTTTTGGCTTGGCACTGTGCTTCTTATCGTTGCCCTGCTGCTTCTTGCTTTTGTCCGATTTGCCATCGCCGGTGCCCTTCTTCTTGGCAGTGGCCGACTTGGGCGACTTTTGTGTCTTGTTGTTGTTGTTACCACCACCACTGCCCTTGACCACCTTCTTCTCTTTGTTGGACTTCTCCTTGTCCTTCTTTTTTGCACTGACAGGCTTCTTGGAGTGGTGATTACCACCGGTCTTGTGTGATTTTCCCATCACCGCGTACTTTCAAAGGTTTGAGGTGTGTTTGTTGAAGAAATAAAACGAGAAGTAATGATTTTGTCAACGTCTAGAAAAAAACNCTTGAGGTGTGTTTGTTGAAGAAGTAAAACGAGAAGTAATGATTTTATCAACGTCTAGAAAAAAACAATCAAAGATGAAAAGTCAACTAGAGCTCTATTTTGTACCACGTTGCACTTTTTTGAGAGATCGAAAAGATGAATCAGCGTAATCACGACAATAGTGTGCAAACGTGCTCTAATTTTTAATTCGAAAAAATAAACGATTTTTTAGCTTTTTTGAATAGGTTGCGTTTGAAGTCTGGCAGCATTGACCGTGTTGCTAATCAACATCGCCACTGTCATCGGACCGACTCCGCCTGGAACTAGGAGTTTAAAATCAAACATTTTAGTATTTGTGAAATCCAAAATCAACACTATTGCAAACCTGGCGTTATCCATCCGGCGACGTCCTTCACCTTCTCAAAGTCGACATCTCCCACCAGTCTGTAGCCCGACTTTCGACTACTGTCTTCCAGTTCATTGATGCCCACATCGATGACCACTGCGCCCTCCTTCACCCAGCTTCTCTTGACCAGTTTTGCCTGTCCTGCTGCCACTACAAGAATGTCTGCCTTTTGGCAAATGTCTGCCAGCTGATTAGGCTCCGTTTTGGAGTGGCAAACAGTGACAGTGGCGTCATCCCATAGCAGTAGTTGAGCCATTGGGGCACCGACGATGGCCGATCGACCGATGACCACGGCACGAGAGCCGGCTATCGGTACGCCGCTTTTGCGAATCAGCTCAAAGCAACCTAAAAGTGAATGATTGTTGAATGATAAAAACGAATCAAATCAATAGGTTACCTAAAGGCGTCGGTGGCAGGTGAACATTCCCTCTGGTCAGCGCCTTTCCTTGCGTCAACTGTCCACAGCTAGTAAAGGTCAGTCCGTCGACGTCTTTAGCTGGCGCAATGCAGTTGATAACCGTTGTTGAATCGATTGGCTGCACAGTGTCCAGTGGCAGCTGAACGATGATTCCGTGAACTGAAGCATCGCCATTCAGTCGCTCAATTGCACTTGTCACTTCAGTTTCAGTTGCTGTGCTTGGGAGGTTGATGTGCAGTGTCTTGACGCCAACTGCACTGGCAAACTTCTCCTTCAGTCGAATGTAAGTGCTCGAGTCTTCCCGACCGCCCACATGAATGATGGCCAGTGTTGGGGTCACTGAGAGGGTGCCAATGGCGTCACGAATCTTCTGGGACACCTCCTCTGCCGCCTCTTTACCGTTGAGCAGGTTAGCTTCAGGCATGTCGGGTAATGTTTACGTGGACAATTTTGTTTATATGCTGGAGATAACTTTTTTTACGTATAAAAACAAGTCTGATCAGAGAAAATGTAAACAACAAGAAAAAGAAAGAGCGAGGTTAGCAGCCAGCTCAGAAAGGAATGCTCAAGGCAAAAGTTCAAGAGCAGGTTTCGGGCAACAGGTTTGGGAGAGCTGGCAGAGATGCTCACAGATGTTTATCTTTTACCATTAAATCAGCAATGCTAAAGAGATTATTTTGATCAAATTTTTACCAAAATACAAATAGTAATTTCAATTTAATATTAGCTTTAAAAAGAATGCACCATGAAGAAGTGTGCACGTACCTACTACGGTACCCTTTCAGAGCTTGCAGCCAGCCCGAATGACGGAGATGGACGGTTTGAGGGACTCCTTCTCAGTGGAGGCCATCGTCGTTTTGCCCTTTGTGCCCATCGGCGCAGAGGGTCGCTCATTGGGCTTGGCACCGCTGAAGGTAGTGGACATCGGCACGCCGCTGACCTTCGTCGCCGAGCTGCCAGGCGGGGCGGCACTGGCCGAGGAGGCGGCGGAGGAGGAGGAGGCAGCAGCGGTGGTAGAGTGCGAAGGCGCCGCACTGGTCGACGTGGCCTTCGAGGTGGAGCCCCCTGGGTTGGCGCTGCTGGCTCCCGAGAAGCTGGAGCCGGCGGACACTGCACGACTACCTCCTTTCAGAGCTGATGGTCGAACCGCGGAAACAGCTTGGCTGCCAGGTTGCTTTTTCTTGCTTTGCTGCTGATGCTGGTGATGATGGTCACTCTTCTTCTCCTCTTTCTTCGCTTCGGCCGCCTTTTTGCCGTTGACTACCTTGAGAGTTATGCAAATGAGCACTGCGACTAGAGCCAGGAGCAGGGCAAAGGCAACCACCCCGGCCACTGTCACACCGAGTTTGGACTTGTTTGGCAGGGCAGTGCAGTAGGCGAGGTTCACCGTCTGCAGGTTCAGTTTGTCGCAGTACTTCTGGGCAGTTTGCTTGCTCATCTTCTGAAGTGAGGCAGCGGTGCATTCCTTTAAGGTAGCTGAGCCCGGTAGTTGACATTTCTGCGCCAGACAATCGCTGACCCAGAGAGCAGTGCAGCAGTTGATGATGCTTGAGTTGGCGTCTTTGGCATCGCCGATGTGCTCGTAAACTGCCTCGTTGCACTGCTCTACAAGACTCTTCCAAGAAGAGGAGGTTGAAGTGACATCAGCTAGCACCAAAACGGCAGGCCAAAACAGACTTAGTGACAAAATGAAGATAAAAGAGAACTTGAAAAACGGCATTTTTTTGAAACTAAAGACAATACAAAATAAAGATGAATCCAATAACTTTGTTACGTTTCATTTTATTTCCGATTTGTGTTAAAAATACAACAATTATCGAATTTAATTTTAGTGTTTAACTAAAATTCCAAGTTAAAGTAGAAAGTTTTTTATTTACATCAAATCAAATTGGTGAAAATTATATCAACTAAACAACAAACAGATCTGCGTTGATAGGTGCACACTTCCACGATCCCAATCCTGATTCTTTTAAAGTTTCTTTAAAAGCCTTTTTAACAGTTCTATAATCAATGGACATGTATTTTAGACCTCTGTAGTAAGGTTTAAAATCATCAAAATAGTATCCAAACTGAGTTTCGTCGTTCAGATTAATCAGAAATGATAACTGTTGGTTGTTTTCTGTGAGATTTTTGAATAAATTTGCAAACGATCGTTTTGATAATCGAGACATTGTGTCTGATAAATGAACAGTTCCTGATTGAGAGTTGATTAATTCAATTTGGTTCAATTGTTCAAAATGAGGTGTATTGTACCAATTTAATGAATATAAACTTGATTTTGTCTGAATTTTAATCAGTTTTTTAAATAAGTTAAGAGTGTTTATTGACTTACCAATAGTGTAATTTTTTCATAATTATTAACAGGTTGATAATTTCCAATTTTATGCATGTTAAGATTAAAATGTTTTGTTTTGAAACAAACATCTAATTTGTTTTTTAAAATTTCATTGTTGACACGTCCATAAAGTGCTCTAGAAATGTTCCGATGATCAAATAACTCAGAAATAACAATACTTTGTAAATAAATAGGCGTGATGAACAGTGACAAAATGCCTCCTTGAACTCCAAGAACATTCCAAGATGCTATCTTGTCAGAACAAGACATAAAAGTGGCTCCTTGAGTTCCATTTTGAATTGCTTCCCACAATGAAACGTACTCGTCAGATAAAGCTATATTTCCAATAGTTTTTTCACATTTTACTCTTAAAATTGATTCTTTTTTATCATTATTTTGGTCACACACCTACAAATACGTTAACTGATTCTAAAGAAATTGTAAATAAAAATTAAAACAAGTTACCTCAGTAAACTGAAACATTCTAGCGTCTCCACAAGGTGGTGATGTAATAAACAAATGTAATTTCAAATTGGTTTTTAATCTGTAACCATTACTATCTGGTATTTTTTCTAAAATAACTTTATTGTTTTCGTTTATCTCTGACGATTTAGTTAATAAATTCAAATTTTCGTACAACAAACATTTTAAAGCTCTTCTTGCAATAACTTCAGCATGTGAATCATATACAACATAACGATCAAAACCAATTGAATCTCCAGCCACGCATTTATTTCCAGTGCCTATACTTAAAACTTGAATATCTGAAGGGTCGTTATCGTTGATAATCACAAATGCGGCTAAAACTTTAAAACTAATATCTTTAGGTTTAGAAAGCAGTAACCATTGTTTTTTTACAACATTGTAAATAATTTTTGATTCAACGGTGCCCAGTAAGTTATTAAATTGTAAAAACTTAATATCAATTCTGTTTAAAAAGTTTAGCAAAGATTTTATTGCTTTCAATAGAGCATCAGTTATGTGTTTAGAATGACCAAAAAACTGAAATATTTTATCAGAATTTGTAAAAGAAATTGTTGCGTTGTACTCAACTAAAAATTTTGAAAAAATAGTACTTTGGTTTAATGTTATGTGAGGTTTAAAATTGATTTGAAGTAGTTCTAGTATTTGAAATTCTGATTTACCAATGCAAACATCTGTTAAAAAATAATCAAATATAAATTTATTGAGTGGCGGTTAAAAAATAAAACACAGAAAATTAACCTTTTTGCACAAAATCAACTAGTTTTTCAAGTAACGAAGTAGTTGAGTTTAGCTTAATAAAATTATTACTTGATGAATTGTTAAAAATATTAGTTTTTGTAAGAGTTAAATTGTCATTGTTTTCGTAAACAGTTTTTGAAATTTTTAATAAAAAATTAATAGTTTTTAAATATGCGTCTGTTTTTAGATTATCTTTTTTAATGCATTCAGTTTTTGATGTAAAAGATATTAGTTTATCTATTTCCACAGTTAGAACAGTACTAAATTCGTGAATTTTTAAAATTTCAGAGTTAGTTGTAGCAAGTTTTCTTATTAATTGTTGATTTTCCAATTTCAAATAATCTAAATATTTTTTAATTATAAAATAATTTAAGTTATTATATAACTTACTTGTTTCAAAATCATCTATTAGTTTTCGTAATAATTTTATATAATTAAAAAATTGCTTTTCAGTATTTTCTTTAGCACAATTTTTAGTTATCCCAGACTCAGTAAAACTCAAAAAATCTTTTATTGAAATAGTTGCATAAAAACCGTTTTTCCAGTTTTTAC